TTTGGTTAATAAACATAAAGATCACAATGTTTGATTAAAATTAATTTGATACATCACTAACAAAATTTCATAATTATTCTTCATATCTTATTTAAGAGTTTAAACTATCAAAAGTTGTCATATATTTTGTCATTTTGATTAAATTAAGAAAACCATTTTAGAAGTCTTATCTTCTTTATTTATTTATTTAAATTCATAACACATTTCACGTGACAAATATCACGTGACATTATTTATGTGGTATTTTCGATAAATAAAAATTCACAAAGTAGATCTTGTTGCTTATGCATCAAAATATTTTATTTAAAACCAGATAATAACTACTCTTTCGTAGAATAGCAGTTAAAACGTGATGTCGCTCCACAAGAACTAATCGAATTGCGTTGATTAAAAAATAATCATTAAAGTAATTTGACGAGTTTGATTTTGAAAATAATAAAACTAAAACTAATTAAGATAATAAAACATAAAAGAAATAAAATAAAATAAGAAATTTCTTAGGTTTCGAATCAACCACTAACCTTGTATTAGTTTTCAGAAATCATTAATTTGGATAATATGATGTATCTTGATCAGAAATATATTATCAAGAGGATTTGAATATTAAAATCCGAAAACATGAATCATTTTCAATTAATGTCGATTGTTACCACTAAACTATACTAAGTTACGATTGATGCACGACTTATCTTACTAAGTATGACTCGTCTAATAATTTTAATACACAATAGTAAAAACAATTGTATAACATGATTTGAATAAAATATTTATTACACAAAAAATCTAAAAGTTATGTAATATATTCAAATCAAATTAAAAACAAAAATACTAAATACAATAAAACCTCTAATTACTTGGTCAGGGTGTCCTAAGAAGAAAATATTTTAAGTTTAAATAATTATAGATACACTACTCTAATATATGAAAAAGACTCTGATTTTTATCACTCTGTGCTACTCCTAGCTAGAACTCTCTCCTGAGCTCTGCTCTCCTCCCTCTTCTTTTATACTCTTAAGCATCCCCAACCCCCTCTTTAACTTCATATTCGAAGGATTTGCTCCTCTAACACATTCTTTAAATTCATATCTATTTGGAAGGAGGATGGGTTAATTCTCCATATTTGGAGGAAAGATGAAAAATAGATGATCCCCTCTAAAATATTATTCATTCTATATTTTTTATTATATTATAAATAACTTTTAATATGTAAATTTAATTTTTATAAAACTGGCATCATTAAAAAAGGTGAAATTATACCTTTAAAATGAGTATAATATTAAATATATTTTACAAAAATTTCAAAATTAAATATTTGTTAATAAACAAAAATTATTTACTTTTTAATGTTAAAAAAAATGCCCAACAAGTTAAAAAAAAAAAAATCAGTTGATAACACCCATCCGGAAAAAAATGAAAGTTTGTGATTAGAGTTTGAATAAATAGTGACATACTAAATTTATTTTCATCCTCTTAATGAGAGGATTGGGTTGAAGATGCTCTTATAAATGAGTTGGACCTGCAAAAGAAAAAACATAAATAAATAAATAAAATATATAATATAATATATAGAGATTGCATTATAGACTGTCTTTTTCATTAACTTTCTTTAATTAATTAATTAATTATTATTATTATTATAATAATATAATATAATATATATGAAATTCTGTTGGATTTCGCCGCCCGTCAATCTTATTTATTTATTTTATGAAAAATGCTTGGGAGCACTAATTAGTGCTCCCAATAATTAGGTGGCAGTGGGTCTCGTCATTAATGATGTGATGTTTTGGTCTTAGAGTTGTATTTTTTTTTATTTTTTTTTTACTTTTTTAATGTATTAGTGCTATTAGTGGTGATGTTTTTAGTGGAATGAATCATTGTTGTTATTTTATTATACTTATTAAAGAAAATTGATGAAAAATTTTATTTCAGAATCGCGTGAGGCATTATGTTTATTGGATAATTATTTTTGATGAAAAGTATACATTTTGTCAAATATTGTGGTGAAAAATCTCTTTTGTTGTTTCTAAGGACATTTTATTTTTAGATTTATTCTTTTATGTTGATTTTTTGTAACTTACGTGTTCAAATTGCTCACAAAAATTATCTATTGAAATTTTTATCTGTTGAAATTATCTATTCAAAATTTCTTTCTGTTGAAATCATTCAAAAATCTATCTATCTATTGAAATTATCTTTCTTTTTTTTCCTTATCTATTCAACAAAGCTGTCACAATCTTTAATTTTTTTTTTATTTTCTGAAACAATGATTTGTACAAATTTCTCTCTTTCTCTATCTGTTGCATATCACCGAGCTTAATAAACCTATCTATGTTAAATAATTACATGTTGAACTTATTTGTGTGAAATTCTTATCAGAGATAGAGAAATTGAACAGATCGATCATCCTTTTTAACTCTCTCTCTCTCTTACTCCTCATCTATTCAACACAAGAACAAAAAAAAAAAAAAAAGAAGATAAATTACAAATGTTTGACAAATATTTCTTATTTTCCATATTTGACAAATATTTCTTTTTCATATATTTTCATAGTAAATTAAGATAATCCACAAATTCAATATTAATTTTGTATTTCACGTTTTTCTTCTTAATTCTTTCAAGGGTATTAGGAATTTTTTTTAATGCTAAATTACGTTTTTTGTTTCTTATTTTTCCGTACATTATTCTATACCCAATATTAATTTTATATTATTATATATTATAGATTTGTCATTTAAATTTTATAGTGATTCTATATATGAAATTATATTTCATTTCCTATATTATTCTATATAATCACAACTCACAGGAGGAAAAACATATACAACAATGATACTTTCGAGGAATCTCTAAAGTTTAGATTCACTGCTTGAGTTACTTTTTCAATTGTTGAACAACAGTTCTTTTATGTTTTGACATCATATTACAGATGATTAATCATTTTACATATTGAGATTTATCTATCGTTTGAATGTTTTTATTATTTTTTCTTTTCAGCTTTAGATGTTATGTGATTTTTTCCCACTTGTCATTGTTGATTTTTTTTTTTTATATAGTTGACATTTTAATTTAATTAAGAGTGTTTATTTTACAATATTATAATTTAATATATATATATAATCATATAAAATCATTATATGATAATCTAACCACAACATATTTATATTTAATTTTTTTAATAAATTTTATATAATTTCAATTTCTATGTATTTTTTATTTTCCAAATGAATATAAAAGAAAATTAAATAGTTAGTGTACGGGAAGGAAATATTCGTCGCTCTCTGCACTCCTCGTGTCCAAGCTTTGCTTCTTCTTGAGTAACCTGAAAACACAAAGACAATGAGCTACCCGGCGATGTGCTGTCGGTAAAACCCTCCGACGATCAAGTTAGCACACTTACAGAGAGAGAGAGAGAAAGAGAGAGAGAAGAGACAAAGGGGTAGGTAGCTCTGGTGAACAGATGTTCCAGACTTGTGCATGGATACACAGCACTATTTATATAGTTTATGCGTGCTCCTCTGTGTCTGTCCTCCTCCTAATGGTTGGATATGTTCCCTTCTTATCTTCCTCTACGTATAAGAGCAAATACTGCCAAACATCGAATGTCAATACCGTCCAACGATATTGACGCGTACGGATGGCAAAATATCTTTCCAGCAATCAAATTACACCACGTAGCACACCCCACCGAGCTACAATAAGCGCGAGACCACAATCCTCTTTTAGGACCGCGCTATGTGCTCAGTCTCATCGAACAAACCCATTCGCAGGCCCAACCGAGCTCCGTAATCCACGCGCGAGCTTCTGTTTGGTTGAATCTGACTTGGGGACAAACTCCGTCCTCTGGAAATGCACATCCTCCGACCGGGCTAGTGTCTCATCTTGTCGCTGACTTGACTAGGTTATGACTTCTGTCGTACACGTGTCCTACGTCAGACCATGCTCAGACCTCGGTGCAACACGCGACCTCATTTCGTTCGAGTAAAAACCTTGGCTCAGGCTCACACCAACTCTCACTCTTAGTTAGAATTACTTTTAATTTTATGTTACTATTTTTTCTTCTAATTTAAATATTATTTTTAATATCAAAATAAGTATTTATCTGACTATTTTATAATTTAATATATATCATACAAAATTATTATATGATAATTACAATTTTATAATACGATAGAATTGAAATTATCAAAATATACAAATAATTTAACTAAAATTAATATATATATGTGTGTGTATATATAAGTATTCAAGTAATAATTTTATAGAACGATAACGTTCAATATTATCAAAAAAAATAATTAAAATCATACTTTAATTTTAATTTAATTATTCTTTTATAAGTACCATCAAATATTGTTTGAAAAAAAATAATACTTGCATTGCATGGGTGAGATGCTAGTTTATATAATATTATGAATATAATAAAATATATTATAAATTGTATTAAAATATAATAAATTCAACAATTTATGTACAAATACTTAAAATGTATAAAAATACATAATATTATATAAAATTATAAAATAATACAAATAAATTAACTAATAAACTATATATTAACCGGCCAAATGTATTACATTTACGCCTCGATGAATTCCACCTGTAAAATTTTATGTTGTAATTATTGATTGCAAGAGTCAGATTCAAAACTAGAACTAGTGAATAAATTATCTTTAGAATAATGACTTGGACCCCTTTTTTTCCCCACCCCCTTGACCCCCTCTTCACTTGATTGGTTACTTTTTCTTTCTTTCTTTTTTTTTATTCTTTCTCTTCCAATCACTACCTGCCACGCGTCTGTAGGAGGTGGTGATTGGAGGGATCTCAATCATCACCCTTACCTTAACATGTGCCTAAGCTTCTTTGCTATAACATTATATATTCATCATCACCATCTCATCTAGAAACAGTCAGAGATGGGTAATCACTATTATTGTTTTTTGTACTATCGAAGCAAATAAATTGAGAGTGTCTGGTTCTTTTGTTGAGAAATTTTTTTTTTTTTTTTTTCCTGGTTCTCAGCAAGATGACACTAAGATTCTCCTCTAAATCTCTGTGAAGTGTCTGAATATTTGTTCTGTTTCCATCACATAGATATCATAGTATTTGTATTCATATTCTCTGTTCAATGATTTCAGGACTTTGATTTCTGCTGTTTTTCGCTCAAAGTGAAAGGTACTGCTTAAGGAGGTTTGTTTTTTCATATTCTATGTCTCTCTGCTTGGTTTCCACAAGCTTAGGAAGTTAAATTCCAAAATAGATTCAGATTTCATGGTCTAAATTTTCAATTTTCCTGGAAAATCTGTTCCCAAGAGGGAAATTCTGTTTATCTTTCTCAGATATAACACTGACCAAAACATTTTATGCTGGTGATAGTACTGAAAACACTGTTTTCTTAAGCAAAGTGTTTACAGTAACTTCTAAAAACAAATTTCTAAGCGTGGGAATGCAAGTGAATGATCAAGTGCAGTGGGTTTGTAGAATCACATTCCACAGCTGGTTTTGGTTATGTTTTCGTTCCTTTTTGTTTTTATTTTTCGTGTTTTCGGAAACAAAACAATGAAAAGTTTGAAAACGCAAACTATTTCCATATCACCTTTTGTGCCGAAATAGTTTTTGAAAAGCTAAAAAACAGCGTTTTGGTGGTTCCTAAAAATTGGGTTGTTTTTAAAAACAGTTTGCCAACAAGTTTAGGGTTTCTGCAGCTTTCATCCCACGCGTACCTCATACATTGAATACTGGTTATGCTTTGCTTTAACAATCAACACTTAATTTTTCATCTTCAATCACCAAATGTCTGATCTATAGGACTCTCTTATCCATTGTTTCAGATTTGCAGCATCTTAAAGACAAGAAAATACAGAATGGAAGAAGGTCCATGGACCAGTTTCTGTGGAAGTTCTGCGTGTTCACACGAACACAACTGCACATCAGGCTTTGCTGCAATTTTCAATTCACATTCATGCCCCAACCATGTTTTGGTCATTGCTTTTGATATCATTGTCTTTCTCATCTGTTTGTTTACTGTCATCTACAAATCAAACTCAAAAAAGGTCGTAGCCTCGCCCCATTCCCTTCACTGTTTGCCAATTTCCTCAGCCATTTTCAATGGCGGGTTAGGCTTTGCTTACTTGGGTTTCGGGGTTTGGACAATTCAAGAGAAATTGAGATCAGAATATAGTTTAATACCTCTTCATCAATGGCTAGTGGTGTTGTTTCAGGGCTTTACATGGTTGTTGCTGAGTCTAATTGTGAGCCTCAATACGCAACAGAGTCGACATATCGTAACAGTAAAGCTTTGTTCTGTACTTGCCTTGTTGTTTTCAGTGTTTCTATGCATTCCATCTGTTTGGGAAGCCATTGAGGAGAGAGTAGCATCGGTTAAGACTGTGCTAGATATCATGACCTTTCCCGTAGCAATTCTAATGATCTTTTGTGCTTTTCGAGCTCAAAAAAATGAGGGGATTGAGCCCAACACCAAGTTTGATTCACTCTATGAACCTTTACAATCTAAAGAAGCTAATAAGGATGGTGAAATCAACACAGATGAGTCAGATGACGATGTAACTCCTTTCGCCAAGGCTGGATTTTTAAGCAAAATGTCATTTTGGTGGTTGAATCCATTACTAAAGAAAGGCAAGGCGAAAGTTCTCGAGGACAAAGATATTCCAAAGCTACGTGAAGTTGATCGAGCAGAGACCTGTTACTTGACGTTTATGGAGGAGCTAAGGAAGCGAAAAGAGAAAGGAACGGCACAGAACCCTCCTTTTCTGTCGACAATCTTTTTCTGCCAGAGGAGAGCTCTTTTGATATCCGGGTTTTTTGCGTTGCTCAAAGTACTCACACTGTCTACAGGACCGGTGCTTTTGAAAGCTTTTATCGATGTTGCACAAGGCAAAGAAGCGTTTAAATATGAGGGATATGCGCTTACCTTGGGGCTTTTCCTTGCAAAATGCTTGGAATCAGTGTCGGAGAGACAATGGTACTTCCAAACTAGACTAATTGGGCTGCAAGTAAGATCTTTGCTATCTGCAGCAATCTATGAGAAGCAACTCCGACTTTCAAATGCTGCGAAGACCACTCACTCTCCGGGGGAGATAACAAATTATGTCACGGTTGATGCGTATAGAATAGGGGAATTTCCATACTGGTTTCATCAGATATGGACAACGAGCCTTCAGATATGCCTCGCGTTTATTATCATGTACTATTCTGTGGGGTTAGCAACTATTGCGGCGGTGGTAGTGATCATTGTGACTGTTTTTGGAAATTACCCGGTGGCCAAATTACAGCACGAACACCTGACAAAGCTCATGGCAGCACAAGACAAGAGGCTAAAGGCAATCACCGAGGCACTCGGAAACATGAAGGTTTTGAAGTTGTATGCTTGGGAGACGCATTTCAAGAGCGTTATAGCAAGGCTAAGGAATGATGAATCAAGCTATTTAGCGGCTGTTCTGTCACAAAGAGGGTACCATTTGGTTCTGTTTTGGTCGTCCCCAACCATAGTTTCAGCTATTACTTTCTGGACTTGTTACTTTCTTGGAATTCCTCTCAATGTTAGCAATGTTTTTACGTTTCTTGCAACGCTGCGAATCCTTCAGGAGCCCATCAGGTTGATCCCTGATATTGGGGCAGTGTTTATTGAGGGAAAAGTTTCGTTCACTCGAATAGTGAAATTTCTCGAGGCACCTGAGTTGCAGGATAGGCATATGAAGCAAAAGCACGATGCAAAGGGACACGAGAAATCTATATTTATCAATTCCTCTAGGATTTCATGGGATGCTAGTTCTTTAAAGCCTACTCTAACCGACATAAATTTGGCGGTTAAACCTGGTGAGAAGATAGCTGTATGTGGAGAGGTTGGCTCGGGTAAATCAACCTTTATAGCGACAATTCTTGGAGAAATTTCAAACATCAATGGCATAGTAAGTTTTCATTTTCACTTCTTTCTTTTCTAAACCACAATGGCACACACAATGTCTTGTTCTCCACATCTATGGAAGTGCAAGAATGAAAAGTTTTTACTAGAGACTCTAGACCAATATACTCTATTCAACCCGTGTGGTTTCTGCTTCATTTTCCAGGTTCAAGTACATGGAAAGATTGCCTATGTTGCTCAAACAGCATGGATCCAAACAGGAACCATACAAGAAAACATTCTCTTTGGGTCCAACATGGATTTCCATAGATACCAAGAAGTACTTGAAAAGTGTTCCCTAATAAAGGACCTCGAGATGCTTCCATTTGGCGATTGCACCATAATAGGAGAACGGGGCGTTAATCTCAGTGGTGGGCAGAAGCAACGCATTCAACTTGCACGTGCACTATATCAAGACGCAGATGTTTATCTCTTGGATGATCCATTCAGTGCTGTTGATGCACATACTGCAACCAGTTTATTTAATGTGATCATAATTCTCATCTCAATCTTTTTTATTTTTTATTTTTTTTGAAGCTAATATGGGTTATGTCCAGGAATATGTCATGGAAGCTCTAGCAGGGAAGACTGTCTTGCTTGTGACACACCAAGTCGACTTCCTACCAGCATTTGATACTATCTTGGTTAGGAATTTAAGTACTTTTGTGTTAATTTTCCTGTTGTCCTTAAATTTACATTACATGTTGGTTTTTGAATTCTTTTAGTAAAGCGGTTCACATATTTTGTTCATTATTGATTTTGTTGACAGTTAATGTCGGATGGAAAGATCGTGGAAGCAGCTACCTATGATCAGTTGCTAACTTCTAGTCAACAATTTCAAATCCTTGTCAACGCTCACAAAGACACTGCCGGTTCTGAGATGCAAACCGAGTACTCTTCTCAAAGGCCTAAAACCTCCAAAGAAGAAATCCAGAAAATTTATACCAAGGAACAGCTAAAAGAATCGTTAGGAGACCAGCTGGTTAAGAAAGAAGAAAGAGAAACAGGCGATGCCGGTTTCAAGCCTTACATACAGTATCTGAATAAGAGCAATGGCTTCTTGTACCTCTCTCTGGCTGTTATCATTCAGATTATCTACATAATTGGGCAATTTGTACAGAGTCTCTGGTTGGCTGCCGACGTACAAGACTATAGTGTCAGCAGATTGGAATTGATCTTAGTTTACACTTTGATTGGGTGTGGAATGTCGATCTTCTTGATCGTTAGATCTTATTTTGTAGTTGTTTTAGGCCTTAAAACTTCAAAATCTATTTTTTCCAAGTTAATGACATCTCTTTTCCGAGCTCCAATGTCCTTCTACGATTCAACGCCATTGGGAAGAATTCTCAGCCGGGTAAGAATCTCTACTGTGTAAAACAATGTATATTATGCTTCGACAAATTTATGAGATTTTGCCTCAAATTTTTATTTTTGGGGTATAGGTATCGTCGGATCTGAATATGGTGGACCTTGAATTGGCATTCAAGTTCAGTGTGAGCATAGGGACAACGATGAACACATATTTTAGCTTCTGCGTTTTGGCTATCATCACCTGGCCAATCTTGATTGTCATCATACCCATGGTTTATGTTACCATACTCCTACAGGTAATATATTCTGTTTTTTTATTTTTTTTGCACGAATTTAAAATGAGAGGGATGAGAAAATTTAGAGATACAGAAAAAGTGCACATAACACAAGGGTGGTGTGCGCGCAAACCACCATACTATTTATACGTTTTTTAATCTTTTCATACAGAGATTCTACTTTGTTTCTGCAAAGGAGTTGATGCGAATCGTTGGCACAACTAAGTCTTCACTTGCAAGCCATCTTGGTGAATCCATTGCTGGAGTAGTGACTGTTAGAGCTTTTGGAGAGGAAGATCGATTCTTTTCAGAGAACTTGCGCCTTATTGATGCAAACGCGAGTGCATTCTTCCACAATTTTTCAGCAAATGAGTGGTTGATCCAACGCCTAGAAATCCTGTGTTCAATTGTCCTCTCCTGCTCTGCGCTTGCCTTGACTTTGTTCCCACTCGAAGCTTCTAAATCAGGTTTGTAATCATTATCACTAATACACTATCACTTGTCCAATTTTTTCTCTCATAATTTCATATGACAGCACAAAAAATTGTGCTGCCTAATATCAAACATTTCATCTAAATGATAGTGATCAATTGTATGATCATCCAATGAGCGTTTTTTTTGTCATCCAGGATATATTGGAATGGCTCTATCATATGGTCTTTCGCTGAACTTGTTCGTAGTTGCTTCTGTCCAAAGCCAGTGCATGATATCGAATTTGATTATTTCTGTAGAAAGGCTAGAACAGTACTTGCATATTCCTAGCGAAGCCCCTGAAATAATAGAAAGCAATCGACCTGCATTGACCTGGCCAGAAGTTGGTAAAGTGGAGATCTGTAATTTGAAGGTAAAAAAAAATTGGCAATATGGTAATCGATTTCATTGCTTTCTTTGTTTTACAATCTGAAACTTCATTAAATGATATTGAGCAGGTTAGGTATCGGCCTAATGCTCCTCTGGTGCTTCGAGGGGTCAGTTGCGTGTTCGAAGGAGGGCACAAAATTGGGATTGTTGGAAGAACCGGTAGTGGGAAGACGACTCTGATCAGTGCCTTGTTTCGCTTGGTGGAGCCTACGGAGGGAATGATCATTATTGATGATCTAGATATAAGTACGATCGGGCTTCATGACCTTAGATCACACTTTGGGGTCATTCCACAAGATCCAACTCTCTTTTGTGGGTCTGTGAGATTCAATCTAGACCCCTTATCAGAACACACTGATCAGGAAATATGGGAGGTAAGGTTTCTAGATCTAACTAGAGCTAAAAGACCAAATTTTGATTGTTCTACTAACCAAACCAAACCAAACGAAACCAAGCCTTAAGTCCCATCAAATGGGGTCGGTTACATGAATCCTTCTTCTCCACGCGGCTCTACTAACAAAAAAAAAAAAAAGACATAAAACTACTATTCTAAGTGGTTATACATGTTCTTGAATTGTTATACTAATTAGCTGTGGATCAGAAATACTGATCACTAATCGCTATGCATAGCCTTCAAGGTGGAAGATAGTGGCAGTCTTTTGTTTTAAATTTTATTTTCTGATTTGAAGATAAGTTGTATCAAATCAAATTTCACTTTTTTTTAGGCATTAAACTTTCACTTCCATACATTCTTTTCATGATTTCAAGCATCTGTCTAACATATATAGACAAAAGAGGAAATAGTAAAGCATTCGTTATTTTCATTTTTGTTTTTTTTAACAAAACCAGTCTTCAATAATTCAAAACAACTTTTTGGTATTTCCAAAGGGTTGTTTTCAGAAAACATTTCTGAATTCAGTTTCTGGAAACAGTTTTCCAAACAAAATTACTGATTCTATTGTAAACCATGTTTTGGAAGGTTCTTGAAAAATGTCAGCTTCGAGAGGCAGTTCAAGAGAAAGCAGAGGGCTTGAACTCTTTAGGTAAAATTGAAGAGTTTGTAGGCATACAAATTGACCTTTCTTCTAAAAGTTGTTAACTAACAACATATTTTGCAGTTGTGCAAGACGGATCAAATTGGAGCATGGGACAGCGACAGTTATTTTGTTTGGGACGAGCGTTACTGAAGAGAAGGAAGATACTGGTTCTTGATGAAGCCACTGCATCAATCGACAATGCAACCGACTCCATCATACAGAAAACCATTCGGACAGAATTTGCAGACTGCACTGTCATCACAGTAGCCCACAGAATTCCAACTGTGATGGACTGCACAATGGTGCTTGCTGTTAAAGACGGTGAGTCCTTGTAGAATTGCGTATAAAATGAATGAAAACACAATAAAAAAACAAGATCTCGGAATTTCTATTACTCGTAACTCAAAATGAATTTGACTGAAACTCTAAGTCGAGTAGTCAAATATTTTTTGAAAACAGTAAATTTTCACTCAAAATGTGTTTGGGGTTTTCAACCTGATCTGACAATCTTGAAAAATCTCTCAAATTACCGTTTGGCCACTAAACGGTCAAATTACTATATGAACTTGCAATCTAACTGCAATGCATCATATATCCTTGTGTGCACAATGAAAATTCTGCATTGTTTACATTTGCAGGGCAATTGGTGGAGTATGATGAGCCGATGAAGCTCATGAGTAAAGAGGGTTCGCTGTTTGGGCAGCTGGTTAAGGAATACTGGTCTCATTCTGGATGTAAAATAAATTGATAGAGAGAGAGAGCAAATGAATAAATGTGTATATATATATTTGTTGTGTGTTTATACAAAGGGAGCTTAGCTCTCTATTTATAGACTGATATTGGGCATGCCATGCGAGATGCGAGGCACCGAAAGGCAAGGCTAATGCTTTAGCCGAAAGGAACAAACACAATGATAACAAAGGCGCCGAAAGCTAAAGCTATAACAATGCTATATTATATACAAAGTATAATAATATACTAACAATCCTTTTGAGACCAAATTTTTTGTCTAAAAAAATCAACCGTTTAGATACCACATTATTTTATCGCTAAAAGTCTATTTAGTAGTGACATTTTCAAAATTTTGTTACTAAAAGTCTTATTTTCAACCTTTTTGGACGACATTTTAGCAACTATCTCCACAACGATAGAAATTTGTCTCTAAATATATTTTGTAATAAAATTTTCATTTTTAGAGAACAAAAAATTTAGTCTCTAAAACTCTTATATATTATATCTTAAATAACAAAACTAAAATGTACAAAAATATGAAATTTGCATGGTCATGTGGTCGCGTCTAGATTAATATAGTTATGTTTTGATAAATTAATAAAAAGTTAATTTTTTAATTTTTTAAATTTATTTTATTTTTTTATAAATAAAAAATTATAAAAAATAATGTGAACTAAAATAAGTTAAAAATTTGCTTAACGTTGATAATTTTGAATACGATCCCGTTGTCATTAATGTTAAATTGTGTTTGGAAAAAGCCATAGGGGGATCTCAGCTGTACGCATCATGGAGGCTGTTGATGATAGAGTGGAGATGCATAAGAATGTTGGAGAGCAGAGAAGCAACTGGATAGCCTACTCTTAACATCCATTAATGCAATCACTATCACAGCTTCAACAATGGCTGGTATTGCAGCTACTACAATTGCAAGTGGCACTGGCCCTCTTGCGGCGCTAAAGCTCTCTTCCACTTTGCTCTATTTGGCAGCTACCGGGATGTTGTTGATCATGAATAATCTTCAACCATCGCAACTCGCTGAAGAGCAACGAAACGCTGCAAGGTTATTTAAGCAAATTCGCGAAGAAATTCACACAACAATATGTATTGGAAATCCATCCAATAAACAAGTTAAGGATGCGATGAAGAAAGTTTTGGCACTTGACAAGGCCTACCCGCTTCCTTTACTAGGCGTGATGCTCGACAAATTCCCCAAAAAAGTGGACCCTGCCACGTGGTGGCCTCAACAACAACGAAGACAAGCGAAGGGACTTGGAGAGAGAAATGATAAGAATGGTTGGGATGCTAAGTTGGAAGATGAAATGAGAGAGATAGTTGGGGTTTTGAACAGGAAAGACAAGGAAGACTACTTGAGGTTGGGTGAAAAGGCATTGAAACTCAACAAAATCTTGGCCATTTCAGGACCTTTACTAACAGGTCTTGCAGCTATTGGTTCTGCATTTGTGGGGTCTCCTAGCCATGGATCATGGGCTGTGGTGCTTGGAGTTGTTGGCGGTGCTTTGTCGAGCATCGTCAACACATTAGAGCATGGTGGGCAAATTGGGATGGTGTTTGAGATGTATAGAAGCAATGCTGGTTTCTTTAAGCTCATGGAAGAGTCCATAGAATCAAATTTGAAGGATAGAGAAGTGGAGAGAAGAGAGAATGGGGAATTGTTTGAAATGAAGGTGGCTTTGCAGTTGGGTAGAAGCATATCAGAGCTGAAGGATTTTGCAGCTTCTTCTTCAGTGAAAGGGGATGTGACTGAACCATCCAGCAGCAAACTTTTCTAATTTTGGCAAATCTGCTTGTAACATATGTAACCACTAACTCTAGTTGTTTGTAGTTTTTGACCGTAAATTGTTAATTAACTCCATTCATATATTCAATGTAAATGGAAGGTTAATGGGCATATATATATTATTCAGAAAATTAAATTAGTCCACTGTGTTTCATATAGCATTTGCCATGTGTTGATTGAGTCTATTAGCACAACATGTTCAGAAAAACAAAAATGATTGGTTATATATCAATTTCTTTTTTCCTATTTTATATTAATGATTAGATGGGAGGACATTATTGACCTTCATTATTTACTTAGAGGAGTATTATATATTATCTCAATATTTTATGGAAATATCATCTTGGTTTAGAAAGGGAGAGTAAAAAGAAAAGAGAAAGAAAATAAAAATGAAATATAAATTGCTCTCTTGTCTCATTTTGATAGTCCCTTATGAGACTTTTAACTTTAAAGGTGACATACAATCAATACACTTGAATTTAGCTCTTTTACTCTTATTTTTTTTAATATATTTTTTATCAGCAAAGTGAAAATTTTATTAAAAATATGAAATTATAAGTATAGGAAAATAAAATGTATCGAGAGAGATTTAAAAAATACAAATTATCCTTACGACTGCTACTCACATCTACACATGTGAGTGGGAGTTTGAGGGGTGGACGATCTAGATTTGTTTAGGATGTTCCTTTAGGCGTTCCTGTGTATGGGAGTTGGAGAGGTGAACTCCATTCAACTCTATGGAAGTCAGCATTTTGATCGACTAAGAAGAGGTCGGCGTTGGGTTGATAAAGGGGGAGCTGCAGTCATGGGTGGAGTAGGGTGTTTGGCTTAGGGTGTTTCATTATAGCACTAATGTTCATCAAATTCATTCTAGAGTGAGTTGTTGTCCATAGGGGTGTTCAATGACTACATTCAAGAGCGAGTTTTGTTGTTCAAGTATCTGCAAAGAAATTGGTTTTAGATCTATGATTTTTGGCCATGGGTTTTGGTCATGGATGTATTTAGGTGTTTGGCCATGAGTGGAGGAGTTCAGCTATGATAGGTGTTCGGCCATGGAAGGAGTGTATTTCGGCCATGATACCGATACTTGATGTTTCTAACCAATGATGTAGCAAAAACTTTCGCACATAGAATAATGTTAGGTCATAAGTAATTAATAAAATAAGATTTTGTTTGGTATTTTATTAATATAACTAAAAAATTATTATAAGTTATCACATCATTCTATTTATTTTTCTATATATCTTTTTATAAAAAATTAAAAAAATTAA